TGAGAACATTACAGAAGTGATTATAATCTGGGTTAGAATGGAAGAACAAAACCAGACCTGAATGTAAACTGTTAACATCCAAAAGGCTCTAATTTAGGGAAATTCATAAAAGTAATTAGAAAACTCAAATGCAACTAATATCTCAAGGACTTTAATACTGACAAATCTGGAGAATCTTCAAATCAATGGTAAAAAGTGAACTGGAATTTACCCTCAAAATAAAAGGAGGGGGAAGAAGCTGGAAGTGAGGGTGCTAGAGCCAACCAAAAAGTCATCAAGAAAAGGCAGAGAATCAAAACAGGAAAAAAAACAAAAAGAGAAAAAAAAAACCAAACCCAAAGGCCAGGAAGCCCAGAATTAAACCAAGAAACATCAGCTAAACTTAAAATTGTTAAGGAAATTAAAGAGCAGGCAGTTCTTTGGCTATATAAATAAGAAAAAACCAAGAGAAAAGAAATTATGCCACTACACAGGCAGTGGAGTAGGGATTAAAATAATTCAGATAGAGCTGTAAAACTAACGGCAATTACTTAGCTCAGCTTTTTGAGGACACAGAAGTAAACTTAGGGTAGCAGAGTGATGCAATGGGAATATAAATTACTATTTCTGGGTATAGAGCGAAACTTTTGGCAAAAGAGTAAAGCTGCCCATAAATAAATCCAAGTTGCAAACAGAAGTCATCTCAATTATGAGCAAAATAAAATCCTATAGCAGTCTGTGTTTTCCTGAACCGTACACTATTGAAACCCCAATTTCCTAGTTTTGGTCAATTGGACAACTCATCATGGGGAAGTTATAGTAAGAACGAGAGGCCAGCACAAAAACAGGAGGAAAAATGGTTGTACACGGGGCAATGCACAGGATTCCCAGGCTGTCAGCAACCCAGGACTTACCCAATACCTCAGAAGATTTTGAAGAGCTAACTCAGAATTCCCAGAAATCAGAGGCAAGATTTCTTCAGAGCCATATTTCTTCAGCATTTATCTGGCTAAACTCTGTACAGTATAAATATTTTCATTCCATTTCACCATTAACCCCAGACTCACTTGGTAGAGAAAACCAGGCAGCTGGGATAAGATTCACCTGACCTGTTTTAGATGTTACCTTAGGGTAACACCTTCAGAAATGCTTACTCCTCTGCTGATGGAAGAGAGACTATGGTACTCACACTGAGAACCCACGGAGACCTTCAGGTAAGCACCAGAGCCACAACCCAAGTGACTTCACAGAAGCTTCAACAGGCCTCAACCAGGGATGTGGCAGAGGCAGCCTTGCCTACATCAGTACAGGCAATCTGAGGAAAACAGAAAATGCTTTATCAGAAATATGAGCATATGTTTTATTATCCTCACTTCCTTGGGTTTTTTTCTGCTATAAAAATCACCGTGTGTTTGTACAGGACTCTTATTCTGGGAATGTCTTTCAGTCCACACAAACATCTGCACTTAGTTACGTTAGCCAGCGTCCAAATCCCAGCAAGATCCTGCCCTGATTATTTTACTGGGAGTGTTTTTGCCAGCTTCTATTCCCAGAACACACTCGATTTATAGCTATGTTCAACCTCCAGCTTTGCTGGTTAGAAGATTGTAACACACATGCTCAAACTGAATGCCTCTTGTACTAGAACAAAGTCTTTCCAGCACGCTTAAGTAACAAGCCATTAATTTGTGCTAGCATATTTGATTAGCAGCAGGAAAGTGAACTATTACTGGATACAATTTGCTGGTCTATATCTTTAATTATACTGTTTGACCTACATGATTTCCTTAATGTCTAGCCATAAAATAAGGCTGCAGATTCAAATACTAACAAAACCTGTTGTGGCAATTTTGTATAAGAGCGTAAAAGAACCTGGATTTTGAGTAAATAAACCAATTAGTCTTTTTTGTGATCACTGTGTATTCTTGACTGCTGCCCTGTATAGCTAGATTCAAAATGTTCATTAAAAAAAAAAAAAAAAAAAAAAAAGAGAGAGAGAAAAAAGAAAGAAATATGCAGTTTCAGCTGAGAAGACAAACAAAACCATGCAGGATATAAATCAAAATGAGGATCTGTAAAAGAGCAGAGCAAGCACTTATTAAGCCAAAACATATTGTACTTGTGAAGAAGCCTGCTCTACCCACTGTGCTTTCTCCAAATGTACATTTATGCAGTTCCAGGCCAGAACTTTTTTGGAGCATAAGACATGAAGCATTCAGATCCCAGAAAAACTCACTGTGATGTGCCTGCCTAATTTCTGCAGAACTGAACTTCGCCAGCACTTGTGCACAAGCTTAATTTCATCACTGAGGGTTTCTGCAGAATTATTCATCGCTATGTATTTCTGTGAAGACTTACTTTATGTGATTGACAATTGCCTCAAACTGTGAATATGGTAATAAATAAATAAAAAAATAAGTTCATACATACATACATAAGCTGATCTCCTACCCTATGCCTCGCACACCCAACATACAATCTGAAAACAGATATTCCACGCTTCTTCAAGCAAGAAAACTTGTTACGGATACACTTCCTTTGTATCCGGTTTGACTCTCTCTGCCCACACCAGAGCGCATCTGCTTTACTTTAGTGATTAAAAACACATGCACTAGAGAAAGACAAGCTCCAGGAAAAAAAGCAGCACAAAAGAATTATTAAAATACAGTGAAACCTTCCGAATTGAAACACAAGTGATGTACCCCTGTCAGTTACTGAAAGCTCACATATCATCCATTCGTATTTTTCCCTCTCAAATTCCAGCTCTTGGCTCTGAGCAAAACAGCTTTTTCAGCTCCCCATCCCACTCTAAAGCAGGCAAAGATGCGAAATGCCCAGCTGCAGACAGGACCAGGCTCATCTTTTCCCCTTTCCGTCCAGCCATTTGCCCCACAGAAAGGCAAACAGAGCAGTTTTATTCTGGGACTGGACACTCCCAGTTGGCATACACATTTTGAAGACTAGACTATTCAATGCTTCCATCATTTAAGCACTGCCCCATCCAGTACCTGGCTGACCAACCCAAAGCTGTTGCCCTCCACCGCAGCCCCTTGTCCAAGAGGGAAACCAGGGCCCTCCTTCTCCAGCTCTAGCTCCAAAATGGCCTCTTCTCCCTGAGTTTCTATAGCCAATAAAAAAAAAACAGGTCAAGGCACAGAGGGAGCAGGTGATTGATGTGCCAGTTCCCTGCCTGGACAGGCCCAACTGTCCCTGTTGCAACCCCAAGCTATAGGAGCTGCATAGCTGCAAGCCTGGGGTGCTGCTTGCTCTCACTCCTGCCAAAGCCACCATGCAAAGTCACTCTACCTGGTTTTATGCATTTGGAGAAAATTGCTGGTAATTTTTCTCTCTCCGTGCAATACCTGATGTTTTTGTCTAAGGATGGACCTCTGGATGAAATATGTTTTAAGATCCTTAGGGACTGGTAAATCCCTTCTCGCTTGCTCTCTCACACATGGGTACAGAGTTTCAGAGATTATTTAACCACCCCTCGGAATTGCAAAGGCATATCTCGTGGCAGCAGAATACCTACAATCTCAAAATGTTAATAGCAGAAATACTTACTTTTCTTTTGTCTCCAGTATCAGTGATTTCAGTGTCCAGAGATGTTTAAATCTACCTTAGAAATGCTATCTATACCAGGAAAAAAACATGCTCAGAATTATGTTTAAGTGCTTTTAAGCATACAACGTGCTCTTTTAAGCCAGAGATAATCCATAAGTAAGAAGGATGTCTATACAATTTCACACAGTGGAGGAAACACATCCGTGAATATCAGCTGAACAATCTGGTCTTCCACAGTTCTGCTAAAGATGTTTAGGGCATATAAACTCCATCCCTCACCCCTAAATTCTCACAAAACCAACTCCGGTCAAAGACTGTATCAGTCTATTCTAAATTTAAATTAACTTTCTGATTTTTTTCTTAATCCTTTGTCTTGAAATATGCCAGAACAAAACTTACCAATCCAAAGGCCCAACTCCCCCTTAGGAACATACATCATTACTAGCCTTTATTCAAATCCCTTGATAACAGAGCATGACCCAAATTTTTATTCTTACCACTGCATTCTCTCTCTCATTCTTGCAGCAGAATTTCATTGACACATCCCCAAGAAGCTATTTTTTTCTCACATATGCAAACACCCAGGAAAAGCAGTGTCAGTCAGTAGCCTCAAGACAAGAATTTACTGCAATTAAATAACCAGTGTTGATTTGAAATCAGTTATGTCTTTTACCATATGTACATAATGGGGGACGGAAAAGAGCACACTCACCATTAGCATAAAGATCCATCTCATGTTTGTATTGAGTACACTAATTCCACAATATGTACTAGTAGCAGCTCAAGGTCTCCTTTGTGACAGCTCAATTTTTTTATATTGTGATAGAAACAGGTTCTGCTAATGAGAAGACAAGCACCCAAGCTTTTGGTAGTGGCCCTTTCCATGCACTTATCAAGAAGACTGTCATGTTTTTATGGTTTAACCAAGTCATGGGATGCCAGTCCCTACCTGTCCCTAAAACTGTCAATAACGCTTATAGAGTAGTAACATTAATTATAATGAAAAAGTATATAAATAAGAGACAATACCTCTTCTTCTGCCTCAGTTGCAATGATCTGAATCTTCAGTTTTGAGGGAAAAGGAAAACTACCATTTTTATTTGAACAGAAGCAGTAGCCCAAGTCATTCTCAAAAAGTTCTGAGTATCTCCTGGCAGCAGGGGGAATGGGACACCAAAGATGGCATGCTATTCTAAGTGTAAAAAAAGTATAAAAATTTATTTGACAAGTTAACAAGTAAGCATTTTGTTAATCCATTAAAACACTTTATTACAAGCCAGTGTAGTTGAGTTATAGCTACTCTGCATGAAAGTTAATTCTCAGGTGAACAAACTGGCCTGTTAGTGAGTAGGCAGTTCAGAATGTGTATCTATATCTATGCTATATCTATTTTATTTTTTAAAGGTATTTTGTGAAATTAAAAACATAAATCACAGTAAACTTTAGAACTATTGTTCCTACATTGTATCATCTTTCTTCAGTGTTGATTGAAGTTTCCGCACATTTTTTAGCAGCTGAAGAGAGCTTCTGCTTTTCTGCCCAGGACAAGATTTGCATATACTTTCCCTTACAGTGACTGCAATCTCTTTTGCTTCCTTTTGGTCACCACACTTCAGTTTGACCTGAGCTGCCCCTTGCTTCAGTTTCTGAGTTTTTCTCTTTAATTTCTGCACCTATGAAAAAAGATTACTAATTAAAATTATTACATACTCAGAAGACCTACAGCTGTAGAATTTACTGAACTTCTACTAAACTCCAAACTAAAGATGTCTAACGGACATTTAAAAAAAATAATGAAAATTGAAACCTACTAATCTTGCACACAGCTGTCTCACTGTAACAGAAAGCACTACAGAAAACTGACCTCACCCACACTTAAAGGGTTGTTGAACTCCCTAAGGTAAAAATGCTTGCTTGAGAGAGATGGAATGTCATCAGTCAACAATTATATTTACAACGGTCTTTTTCCATTTCTGATTGTATTACCCTAACCAGCCTCTCCCCCAACTTACCTATAAAATGTACACTGTTTATTATTGGTTACTGTATCTAAGCAGCCTACTTTGAAGCCACATAACAAAACTGGAAAACAAAACAAATAGGGTTGATTGATGAAGAATGTTTTTTTTAATGACAAATAATAAGTCTTGACTTGCAGTTGGCATAAAAAGGTCACTCCTGAAGATAAAATTAGGCTGGAAGCATTCCATATGCCAATTTAAGCTTTAAGTCCATTTCTAAAAATAATTAACTTGTATTGCATTCTAGAACATACTATTAACTGTGAAACACAGAGATGACTATGGAATTTTTAGTGTGACGGGTTCTAAAAGTAGAAATATGCATCAATAACTAGGGCATGATGGACAATAATCAGACAAAGACAAAGAATGTGTTATTTACATCATGACCCTAAGGCGTATGGTCTGACAAAAGCACAGATTTTGCCAGCAGATCTACAGGCTGATAATTGGCAAGGATGACAACCAGGCTGCACCACATTTTATGTGCTATTCCTCTCCTCATCATCCCAAAAGGACGGCAGACTCTAGCCATAAAGATATACAAAAGGAATAAACAAAGGTGCAGTTGTTTGTCCATTGTCTACTGTTCCTGGAGGATGAAATCAGAAAGATTCTGAGGCAAGGAGTAACACTGTAATTGTTGGCTCCTCAAGAATATAAAAGATTTGTCAAAAAAAGAGTTGACATTGCCAAGAGAGGTAGTGAGGATGCAACAGTCAATGTCTTTTGTCCATATTCCTAACATGCAACTCTGACAATTCTACTTTAACACAAGCATCTCTGTGCTTGCAGTTATGTGGACAGTGAAAGATTTGAGTGAGTAAAATCTATCAAAGTATGAACGTGACTAAAAATTATCAGATTTAAATTAACTATCACCTCTTCCTTTCTTAAGGTCTCACAATGAGTTTTGTTTTGTTTCCTGTATAAGCAAAGTTCTTAGGTGAGTCTATTTATCTGGAAACATAAGATGGAAGAACAGAAAACTATCAGACAGAACTATGGATTGCATTTTTTATCATATGCTCCACACCAAATTGCTACAAAAGTGTGTGATTTTTTTATGGGCACGACTAAAAGCTGTTATCTATGGCTCTAAAACACATACTGATAGAACGTGTACAGATTAGGAGTTAAACAAAACTGAAAGACTTGTCTGGCTACGATTTTGGAGAAGCTGTGGTGAACAGACTATTTGGTTAATAAAAAGCTTCAATATTTCTGTAATACAAAAGACATTTAATCCAGTCTGTATGGGACCTATAGCTTCTATTTTCTCATTCCCCAAAGCAACAGAAGACAAAGGAATGAAATTTCAACAGTTTGTCTTAATGCAGTGAGCAGAACTGACAGAAGGAGCCACTCAGCTGTTTTGCAGAACCACCACAGAGCAGAAAGTTCTCCCACTAGCGTATGTTCCTAGCTGTCAGCTGTAAGCATTTGTTCTTGATCTGAAGAAGGAATTGGAGGTACAAGAACACCGAGCTAGCAGCCTAATTATAAACACCCATCTGGAACACCCTGGCTTAAGCATTCCAGTGACACTCTAGTTAATGACAACAGGAGGCAGAATTGTGGCACTATCGTGTTACTAGTGTGTTACTAGCCAGAGTTTACATTTTATTCTTACAGTAGCCTCATGCTTTTTCAGCTTGGATATTTGTTCTCCTTTAATCTCCATTTGTTTTACAAGGCAATCCAGCTCCTGTTCTAGGTGTTTGTGAACTTCGGAGTCTTGAGTCTCCTGCATCTGCTTCAGAAGTTCTTGATGCTCACTATTAAAGACAAGAATAGCACACAAAGTATTCATGATACAGTCTCTGAGACTTCTTCCAATATTTTCAGTGTATTGCAGGAGTTACTAGCCATTTTCTCCAAAGTATATCAATTTAGCATGATTTACGCTTTCACACAATACACATTAATATGGAATATATTCACACCAGAATAGAAAAAGTTTTTCCACTAATTTGCTTATTCCACATTTGTAGCTGATGTACATCTTACTCCTCCCTCTTTCCAAGCCAAAATAAGTACATGTGAAACAGTGTGCAAAATGAGAATATGGAAACTGAACAACAGCTACGCAGTATGGTATTCTCACTTCCTGTCCAATTTAGTCCAGACTTTGAAAACTTAATTTAATACAGAAAAGTATTGCTTAAACTAGTACATTTAAATTATAGTTTTTCTGACAGATTATTCAAATTAAAATATTCTTCTCAAAAAGATTTGCAGTGAGGTGTGCTGGTTAATTAATTTAATCAGTTTAATTAACCAACTTAATTAAAAGAATTTGTGTAGATCTCCTTGATACTTAGGTATCTGAACTGGTGAAAAACAGAGATACTCTCTCAGCTAAATAAACTTCTTACAAAGGTCACAGATTCTTTTCTGCTTTCTGAGTATGTGCTGCTCCTTGACTGGTTAGTTGAAGCAACCAGCTGTTGCTATAAAAAACCGTAATGCCTGTCACTGAGTTACCATGAGCAAGCCGAACATTGCTTTTTGAAGAAGAGACTAATTACCAGTTTAGATTTTGCCACATCAAGGATTTCAAATCAGTGTAAACACCCTAACCGGTTTAACCAACACATCCTCCTCTGTTCAAACCACAGATCATCATGTCAACATGTATCCTATGACCAGCTATATAGCTTTGGCCCACAAGCTTGTATTAATGGGAAGATGCCTAAGAACATGGCTGAGAAGAGGCTGTTGTAATCCATATTTACTTGTACGGCTAGAAAGATACATATACGCCCATCTAATGCATAAGCTTCTTCCACACCCTGCCCATTTTCTGGCAGGAGACTGTCCCTCTTCCACAACCCCCTTACAGGACTGGCAAGTTCTTCTGCTATCAAGAAGGAAGGAGTATGAACACCAGCCCATCTCAGCACAAAAACCCATCAGGTACCCATATATGGAGAAAACACAGAAAGAGTGAGTACAAAGGAATAGCCAAGATATTGTGTAACAGGACTAGTCATGCCACAGCTGAACTAACCTATTACCACCCAGACTGACTGCATGCTGCAAGCCTACTCAGCATTAACATCACCTTTGCAACCTTCTCCAGGAGAACATTCTTGGTCTAATCCATAGACCTCAGAATATGTTTAAGATTTCTGAAAAGCACAAGCCTGGAAGACTTTTCATTTGCTGCAGCTGTTACTTCAGTAGTGACTTGGCTAAGCATAGGATGTGGAAGCAGAAAAATCCAGCTGAAGTGTATGTTGCTTGCTCACAAGATCAGTTAAACAACAGGACAGAAAGAATTTTTTGAATGAGAAAAATCCTACCAATCAGGCCTGCTCAGGTCATTCTGCTAATAAGTAGTCCTACAATTAAACCAGGCCAGGTTCAATTATAGCACACGTAGCTTCACAGGGCTACCACCGAAGTCACTTTTACTAGTAACATCAGGGACGAGTACTCACAAGCTCATCTGGCCCAGTTCATCTTGTATGGCCAGCAGAAGGTCAGAAAGGCTCCTGGTGGCAGTAGGTGATGTGGAACAAGAGGATACAGATTTTGAAAGTGCAGTGTGTCCTGAAATCCCACGTGTAGCTCCTCCTTGGCTTTGTGATGAGATACATGGATTGCGCTGCTTCATAACGTGCAACACACTTTGAACGTTTGCACTAACAGAATGGCTGGAGCTGACAGACTTAAAGCAGAATTATTAAGTGGTTTGCGTAAGTGATTAATAATTACAATAGACTTATTCCAACTGTAGATGCTAATTTAGTGAGAACATTTGGTTTCACTCACCTTCCCAGCCACAAAAGGTAGTTCACCAGCCTTTACATGTAATTGTGAAAGGTGCGTTTTCTTCACTGTAGGATTTCTCTGCCATAAAATAGTCAGAAAAAGTAAGACAAGAAATTCCAAACTGCTGACCAAACAATATGATCTGAAACTTTTTTTTTCCCCCAATAAGTAAAATTAAAATAAACAAGCAGTGAAATGTATCACCTTTATTTCCCTCTAGTTTAAAAAATAATTTCCCTCCTGTATGTGGAAAGAGTAGGACTTTTCAACAGCCAAGCCAAGAAAATTTTACTCTAGATGCATTTAGCAGCTGGTTTGACAGTTAGGTTGACGTTAAAGAAATTGAACATTGCTTACTTCATTTTGCAAAACCACACTTGCAAAATTTTGACTGACCTGGAACGTGTTGCAAAATGAATTCTCTTGATTCCAGCAATCCCCTCAAAACACACTATCTTAAGATGCCTAGTTAAAATTGCTTTGGAAACTAATCTTGCTAGATAAACTGAAAGGTAGCTAAGACAGGACATGGGGAGTGGCAGTTAAGAGTGTAACAGAGGTTACTGTCATGCTGATAAGGGAAAGTTTTCCAGTGAGGTGCTACCTACCAGCCCTAGCACTGTCTTAATTTCCAAAGGAAAAAAAAACCCCAAACAAAACTAACAAAAGAGGTATTCAGCACTGTTTTCCTTTGGAAATGGAGTAAAGTGCAGCAAACACATCAACTGCCTCTTACATCAGCATTTTTCAGGAATTCCAATCTCTGTGTGAGTCAGATGCTATCAGCAACTGTATGGTAACAAAAGCTTTCATTTACCTTCTCAGTTTTTTTCTTCTTCACGTTTTCCTTTTTAGGTTCATTTTGAGATGTCACTGAAGACAACAAAATTCTGTTTATCTCAAATCCTGTTTGAAGCTGTGGGAATAAGCAAAAAAGAAAAAATGTAATATTAGAAGTATGAAATCGCATAGTTTAATTAATTCCCTCTTTCATGCATGGATGAGAACCAATTAAGGGCATTATTAACTGCCCTGCTAAGAAGACATAAAATGCACTTAACAACTGAACAGATTACTTAAATGGCAGGGTATCAAGCAGATCTTGCATTAAAAACTGAACAGATTACTAGGATGGCAGGGTATCAGGCAGATCTTGCAGCTCTGTCTTAGAAGTCCTCAATTTCAAATTCAGATGCAGCAGCTGTATTTTTCCACTGTGACAACCAGCAACTGTGATAAGTCAATCCTGCCACATGCTGGGGATCTGATCATAAAATCCAAATAATATGAACATTTGGATCTTACAAAGAGAACTGAGCCGATCTGTGTGACACTGATGTCAAACCTGCCAGACAATCCTCAGATTGCTTTCTAGTTTGCCTAATATAAAGTCCCACGATAAACAGGGTAATAGCTATTCCAAATCAGACGTACAACAAGGACTTTGTTTTGGCATGTGTAACAGTTCCAGCTAAACAGTGCTGGAGCTCCATCACAAAAATGAGGTTATTCTGGCTTCTCTGTCATCAAAAGGAAGTGAACCACCCCACACTCTGTTTCCCAAGCCAGATCTAACAGACCTAAATCCATCCTGCAGTGAACTAAGATGGTACTAATACTAGTTTAGGACTTGGCTTACTACACCTAAGTCCTTTCTTGAGCAAACATCTATACTACTGTTCAAGTCAGACTATCTGATCTTTGAGTGTCATTCTTACTATATTTCTCAGAAGATAAAATCTCCAAGCTAGGCCTTCTGCTCTGCAGCAGCAAGCAGTTGAAGCAAGAAGCCCAAAACCTGCAAGTTTTCAACTGTGTCATTCTGCTGAATTCTGGAGGTGGTCAGATACCTGGGTTACAATCTGCATGTTATTTCAAGCTTCCTGGACTGATGAAAGCCCATCATCCTTGGATGAGGTATAAAAACTAAAAGCAGTGATGAGTTAATTTAAGCTGTCAGTTCTGCTTATGGCTAGGTTCTTTCAATACAATTCTTCAGCTCTGCACCATCCCCCTCTAGCCCTGAGAATGCCACCACAACTGCTCTTTTAAAATGGCTGGTACTTCTCAGTGAAGTGAGCTTTGGAATACTACTACTCTGTCCCTTTAACAAAACGTTTCTTTGATGTTACTTTCTTTGGCAAATATTCCTCTCTCAGATGGATGGTGGACCAAGAAACTGGTTATAGCCTCACAGAATAATGAATTATTCAAGCTCTCACTTAATGAACAATGTAACAATATCACTGATTAAAGACTTTTCCATATACAGTCCAATATATTATATTTCAGCAGATCTGAACAAAAAGAGGAAAATAAACAGAATGACCAACCTTGCTTGGGTTATAAGGTTTCTTATATGACCACTTTCTAGTTACTGTAAGCTAAGATTACCTGATTTAGTTGCAGATTCTCTAGAAATTAATTTTCTACCCAGATCACTTACAGCAGCTTTGAGGCTGATGAAGTGTATTATTAATACAAAACCAAGTATAATCCTCCTTGACTGGGATATGCAACTCACCTGGCAAGCTTTATAGTATGTAGTTTATAAGTGGTTTAGGTAGTATTCCAGGAGTTCTACCTGGGTAATAAACATGTGCAGTTTAAATGGAACTAAAAAAGGGTATTTTAGACAGACAATGGAGTTCTTCAGTCATAAAAAATTAGATAAAATAAAACCTTTTCTGTCTACCTGAGCAGTTTTGTCTTGTATTAGCTTACGCTGATGCTCTTCTTCACAAAGCTTTTCTTCTAAGTGTTTGATCTTGTCCTGAATTTGAAAGCAAGAATGATTAGTCACACTTCAGTTTGCTATGCTGAATCAGAAGTCTGAAGTAGGTTGCAACAGTAATCTGGGATAAAACAGGACTGTAGGAATTTTTAAAGCCCAGACTGAAAAAATACCCATGCAAATGAAACCAGCATGGCATTCAGTCAGGTATGCTTTATGATCTTTAGCTTTAATAGACAAAACTCTTGCAAAACGTAGTTCTATTAAAAGTATGACATACAAATTATGTCAAATGAATGACTTTCAGACTGTCATTGCATGCATGCTTACTTCTGCAATTCTCTGAGTAGCAGTAAGTTTGAGGCACTCTTTTTCTAACATTTCAAGCTTTTCAAGTTTTGCATGCAGTTTCAACCAGTTCTGATCTTCCTCTTTCTGAAACTGGGCCTAGAAAAAGTAAGAAAGAATGGAGTTGGCAGCTGACTCAAATTATTTCAGGCAGCAAAAATCCAAACACACTACACTAAAGGTGTTTAAATAGTTTAAATTTCATATTTCTTAAATTGCTAAGTGATGAAAAACAGCAGGCAGACAAAGAAGACTTAAGCTTCCAGCAGCTTTTTTGTCTACCAAATGTGCAAGTATTAGCACGGTTTTGCTCATTAGGAGTTCCACCTAGGGAGTCTTTTCATACAATTCACTGAACGGTTGTCATCAGCCAGTCAAACAGTAAATTGCTTCTGTTTGCTACCACCCTGAGCAGAGCTGAGCAAAAATGATGCACATTTCTATACTTTTTAACTGTATCACTACTTTGTTAGTATCTTAAAGGGCTTCACCTGTTGTTCTAAAACCATTTTATTTTCTAGTTCTGCACTGGAGACCATTTTCCTCATGTAATCCAGCTGTTTCTCCAGCAGGGAGCAGCGGGATTGTGCTGCATTTAACTGCACGTTTATATCTACAGAGAGAAACAAAACACATTCAGTACAGCAATGGGAGTTACAGTTAGCCAGCCTGTTATCTCATTGAGGAATTCTCTGTCTTCAAAACGTGCAAGAAAAGTTTTGTTAGTCTGAACAAGCCATGTTTAAAATATATTTTATACATAAAACAAGAGAATCAAAATGTTTTTCCAGAGCTAGCTCCTAATTTGGATTCCAAAAATGTGAGCACTGCAGTTATTCAATTTATTTCAGCAGATATCTAACCAGAATCTGGTTTCTTCCCTTCTCCTCACTTTTCTCAAGTTAGCTGTGTAATATACGTAAGCAACTGCCTGCTTATGGCAGGAGTTAAACATGCCACCTGAAATCTACTTATTGTTTAAAATAGCTTTATGGGTTATGCAATACTTGGTTAATATATGCAAAAAAAAATTTCAACTTTATTGAGATATCAAACTCCTGCCCCTCCCCAATTCTGAAGCAAAAAAAAAAAAAAAAAAAAAAAAAAAAAATGGGGGAGTGCATTACTTAGAAGTCTGTCAAAACAAACACTCCCTGGATTGTGCAGTCTTGGGAGTTGCTGTAGCTACACCTTATCACTCAAGAGAAATACCTTTCCTCTGTTGCATCAGTTCTTCATGTGCTGTGTCCTTTTTGGAAGATTCATGCTCTACTGCCTTCTTATACTGAGCAGCTGCTATGGAAAGGCTGCATAGATTATCTTCAGCCTTTGACTTCTCCAACTCTAGGCAGTGGATCTTTTCCTGAAGAGTTTTCATGGCTGCCGCTACAGCTAGCAAACAATGCAACAGTTACACCTTAAGTAACAGTTCCTACTATTATTATTTCAAAGAGCAAAATACTACCTAAATTTTCTTCCTCGGATGACTCAAACAAATTATATTCCCAAGCAGTACACTAACACATGAAGAACTTATCTGGGAGAAAATGGGCACCTTTACTGCATAACTGAGGTGTAAAGCACAGGTCCTGTGAGCAAAACTATCTTCACTCTAAATGACAGCAAGCACAAAAAAATCGTGGCAAATTGAGTGTAACAAACCCTGGGACTTCTGTTTACACAGACACAGGGAACACAGGTATCCAGGTTAGGTCACAAGTTTTGGTGCCATGCAACTGATGGGGACAGATTGAAAAAACTAAACCAAACTCGGGGTCAGGGGGGAAATCAGATACAAAGGGGCATTTTAGTAGATGATGCATTTAAAAAGCTTATTGTTTCAAAAGCTAATGATTCAATGTCTAGTTTCTTGTATTTGATGATTCTTTAAACAACAGAAACAAGCCTGCCAGATTTTGCATTTATCCTCATATCAGTATGTGTCAAAATTATGCCAAAATAAAGTTCGCAATTTCAGCTACAGGGAAAGTCTACTAGCTCTCCAAAAAATATACACACCTGTGTAAGTTTAAGACACATTCTGTAACAACTCAAGCTTCTTTCTGACATATTATAATTCTTAATAGTTTCCCAGTACCAATTTTCTCAGTAAAGGAATACCCAGTAAATACTGCTAGCTCCATAACAACTCTCATCAGCCTATCATAGCCCCATTACAATTCATTAAAAAAAAAAAAAAAAAAGGACAGAAACTAGAAAGCAAAAAGATCTTTTTCCATCTTTCTATTGTCATGCCAAACTTTTCCTTACTTAAGCACTTAGCTGCATAACATTAAACTGACCATTTTAATCCAAAAAGCCCAAACTCTGCATGACAAAAGATTACTACGTAAGTCACATATTCTTCAAGTGAAGAACAATGAACACATGTGCACACATAGGCTATGTCTGTGCAATACTGTAAAGTTGTCCATGATAGCAAACCCAAGCATGGTATCCATTGAGCTCTCCACATATGGTAAACCACCAAGCATTTCCTGGTAAGCTCCAGAGAGTAATCACCCATTAAGGCACACGACAACCATAATAGACCCATATTTTGTATAGACTACATTTCATGCTGCTAACTTTCCTGGGACTCTGTGCCATTCAATAGTTCTCCCAAGGAGTCATACTGCACAAATAACCTTAGAAGTGATTTTAAGCTAGAAGGAGTCTAATACCACTATACAAAGCCAATTTCAAGTCAGTGCACTACCACATGAATGATCTTTTTTTGCTGTATTTGAAGTCATTAACTGCTTCTGCTGAGTTTGAAGCATTTTCCTTTGCTTTTAGAGGAAGTCTGACAATTCTAAGTTAAACAATTTTCAAAGCCAAAGTTTATGAGGATGTTAGAAGACTTGCAGTAGTTTCCATTCCAGACATATGACTTCAGGGAGACTACTCCCACAGGACACATATACATCCTGTCACAATGTCAGTCTGATAATTGCAGTAAGTCATTGAACTAAGTAAAACAGAATGGAGAGTTTTCTCAAGAGATTTCACATGGAACAATTAAAAAGAACACTTTAAGGACATATTTTGGCTTTACCTTGGTTATTGGAGATAGAAGGCTTGTCACCACCAACAGCTGCCAACTTTTTTGATTCTATACAAGCAAAGCCTGCAGGAAGCATCCTATCTGGTGGCTGAAGAAAGCTTCCTACGAAACTATTCTTTGATTCGAAATCCATAGCCTGTAAAACAGAGCTATTTAAGGCTATTAAGTCTTTAACAGGCTATGTAACAGTTTTCGAAGTATGTCATTAGGCTGGCCCTGGCCGTGTTCATATCAAACCAGATAATGTGCAACAAAATAATAACTAAACACAACTCCCCCCACCGCCCAATCCTCAGATGAATCCTGTATTTTAATGAAATTCCAAAATGATGCCTTTCATAACATTACACATACCTCTCTTCAACCACCCCAAATTTTCCAAGATGTTTCCTGGTGCTTTCTAATAATTTCTGCTGATTTTTGTCCTATTAAAAGCCAAGGATTAGCATTTTCTATTATCTATTTTATAGACTTCAGTGTCCCCTATTCAGAGGTTCCTGCAGAGCAAGCATTCAAAGTTTTACAGCCTGTTTTCTTTTGCAGCCTCCTTACTGCTCTACTGCCTATCGTTTTGCATATAATAAATAATAAAGACATAGTTCTCCACATTTAATGTTGAGACAACAGAAGCATATTTAACATGCAATATCCCCAACATTCTCCCTGTTATTAAGCGTATGTATTAAGCCCTAGTTTTCCACCCGCTTTTCACAATCTTTATTTTATCAGAATCACATTTGAAGATAGCTTACACCCTGTCAAATAATGATTTTTCTTGACACTCAGGACATGGACAGTGAAAGTGCAGAAAGTGCTTTAGTCTAATACAACCTCTAGGAAGTTAAAGCAAGTTTTAAATCACACAGCAGGTACCTAGCAAAGTAGTACCAAACATTTCACTTGATACAGTGTAAGAAATTAAGAGTATATACAGCTACAGCTGACAGAAAAACAGCTTCTTTGAAGGTTCAGTGATATAACTATGGTATCCCTCAAGTTTAAAATACAAGGCATGCAACTGGAACAGGCTTCCCGTGTGGGCAAAGCTATTTACAGACACTAGTTCTCAATAAAGTCACCCAAAGGAGGTATCTAGTAACAGGAGGAAGAAACCCAAACCAAGACTGGAACCTGCTGATGAAGCACACCCCTGGAAAAGCCATTCATACTGGGTGGGCAGGGAAAAAAGTTTCTGATAACAGAAAAAAATTCCAGGACCAGCTCTTCCAGCACTGTTTCAGAGGTTGTGTAAAATAGAAAAAACATCATCCATCCACTCCACCTCTTCAAGATATGCACTAAACCAAAGCTACACAGAAATCCCTCCTTCCTCCTCTAGGCTGTCATCACAGGGACGTTGACATGAGCATTTCTTCGCCAGGGCTTGCTTGACTTGGGGCCTGCCAGGCGCAGCTGCTTTTGTGCGCTAACACTGCCAGGGCAAATCCCACAGCTCAGGATGTCCCCCAGGCACCGGCACAGCACCCCCAGACCTGCAGAAGGGGACCTGCCCTGGCTACCCTGGCACCACAGGCCTCCTCCATGCGGGGCCCTACCGCCATCCCACCCGAGCCCAGGCCACTTGCTCTTAGCTGCAGGCAGCCGGGCACGCCACCATCACTGGCAAGGGGTCCCAGCTGGCGACCCTGCCACATCTACGGCCACACCGGCTGTTCATAGGGCTGCACAGCTCTGTCCTGGGGGACTGGGCAACGCCGCACAGGAACAGCCGACCGGTAACAGCCGGCTAGGACGGTCAGGTGTACCGGCCATTTCCAACAGCACAAGAGGCAGTGGCAGTGAAGGGCACAAAGCAGGGAGCAGCAGAAATCACAAGATATGGATGGGAAGGTCCTGTGGCCACAGAGGGGGTTATAGGGTCAAGACAGGAGAGGAGAAGGGCCTGGCATGGTATGGGGCACCAACACGGTGTTCCACAAAATAATAAATAGCAAGACTTACCAAATTTCCCACTGCTTTTCAAACCTTGCATGCTGGTGATGAAAGACAGTTAAAAAAGGTCCATATAAATGCGCACATGCACACACAGCGAGCCTCTTACCACTTCTGCGAACAGAGGAAGGCAACTCTGGAAACTCCTGAGGAAGAAGGTGAGTTTTGCTCACGCCATCTAACCTTTTGTCAGTCGGAATAAGTGGAGACTCACTTTTCCTATGCCCACCAGTGGAACATGGCTCCCTTGCACGCCTGCAGCTGCTACACTTCCGTTAGTCTCCTTATGACTTTCACATAAACAGCTTCTGCTGTTTCCAAGGAGATGAGTCTGTGGACAGTTGTAAGGAGGGCGGTGATCCAAATGAAGTAATGAATAAGAGAGGGAGGGAACAAAGCACCAGAAAGTTTTAGAGTTTGTGGTCCAGATCAGTAACACAAAGGTGGGAGGACATGGGGAACACCTATTTGGGAGAAAGGGAAGCAAACCCCCTTTGTTCTGCAGGTGAAGCCAGAGGAAAGTGAAAGAGGCCAGCTCACCAGCCCGGGTGATGATGATCCAGCTAATACAGCGTGGGTTCAGTATGAAAACCCACTATTTGCCAGCACAGCAGAGGGTAATACACACCCTGCAGCAGGAGCGGGGAGCTCCTCAAGCTGCTCCTAAGAGCACAGGCTTTGCAAGGGGTGTGAAGGAATACACCACCGCGTGACTGAGACACCTGTGTTTGTAGAACTCTTGCTGTGGATTTAGTTAGGGACACCTTGCTTTGCCTCAGCTTTCTCAGATGCAGAGGCTGTGTGAAGTAGGCTGAGGGAATGGTTGCTGTAGTGCTTGGAGGCTCTGTCAGCGTAATTACTCTAGTAGAGGTGCTCTGGCGTAGATGAGTCCTTTAATATGTTAGTCAGTAAATAGAGTTTATAACAACCATCCTGCACAAGAGCAATGTCTACAATACTGCAGACCGCAGGGAAGGACATAGGCCAGGAAAAGGACCAAGTCACTCTACACCAGCAAGACATCACCGAACATCCTGAACACTTTCAGACCACTAGGACAAGAAACCTATCAGGAAATAACTAAGTAGCTTGATGTATGTTTGGACGTCAACTGTCCTACCATCAACTTTTTCCCTCACAAGTATTTAAGTTTCTGTAAAACCATCACAGACAAGCTTGTTTTCTAAAAAGGGTTTCACAGCCCACATCCAATGCCAGCTTAACCTACTACTCTTTTATTCCATGCTACTGTGGATGATGGTACACAGCCCTAGAGAGGTGCTTTAAAGCAGATATTGCTTCCCCAATAGTGATGTTTGTACTAAGGCTTGTATGAGGCTTAGGGGAATTTAGTACTTGAACAACACTCATTAAAGCAGCCAAAACACGTTGTTTAGACAAGTCCTTCACTGAGGAAATTAGTGCACGCATTTGAGCCTGGGGAACAGCCAAGGTAGAAGTATGCATATTAAACAGAGGCTGACAAAATACCCCACTTATGGCAGAGGGGATTGGAGGTAAAGAAGGAAGAAATATCCCCCTCCTGCCCCAGCAGCCTGCACTGCTGTGGTGAGTGGGGTGAAGCACTTGCATTGTGCAGGTTGCATCTGGAATCAGCATTGGCGCTTTGGATTTTTTAACCAGAACTGACTCGGTCTGTGCTACTGGATGCAGTGGTGATGCTCAGATGTCCAGTGTTATTTTACACAGAAACCCACAAAGCACATATATACGCGACATCAAGCATTGAGCAACTTTGTACTGACCATGGGCTTGCCATTAACCATCAGCCTGGCCAAGACACCTTTGTTTGACTCTAAGCCTGAGCCAGGAGTGCAGGCCCACACAGCTGCAACACTGTCTATGGTGCCAGGCATAGCATACTGCTCTGTAAAAGCACTTCACTAACGCAATTACACTGCCTACCTCCTACCTTGCTGCAGCTGGTGTGCTCACCCCTGGGATGTGAGCAGGAGCAGCACTGGTCCCTCCAGTGGGACCTCTTCTGCCTGTTGGCTCACCATCACATGCAGGCTGGGAGTGAGCTTGCACAAAGGCTGTTAGGGAGCAATCCCACAATCAGGTCGATACCTGTTTATGTGACTTTAATGCCCCAGAGGAGAGCAAGCAAGCTGGAGTTGGGTACCTTAAGACAAACAGAATTTCCCATTTCATGATGGTCATGTAAGTACTAATGTGATTTACCTTTATACTGTTTATATTTGGGTTTGCTGAATGTGGCCTGCATTGAGTGCCAGAGTACTGGATCAGGTTGCTGTAAAAATCAATTGATATTTTAGTTACTGCTGTCTAACACAAGTAAGCATGTCAACAGTGGAGAGTTACTGAACACCACTGAAATCCTAAATGTTACAGAAAGGCCAGTTATGACTTCCTCATCCTTCTCCTCCTCTCCTTTCCATTCCTTCCCTCTATTCCTAGGCACATCATTAAAAGTTTCAAAAAAATTTCCTCTGAAGTTAAAAAGTTCAAAAACATTTTGCTACATATATAGTTATGTCCCATACTGTAAAGCAGTACATGGAAAAGTTTTTTCCACTGTGAACTATAGCAGATTCAGGGAATAATTCTGGCTTAACAGTTCCCCAAAAGATATACTCTAAAGCAATAATGTGATAATGGAAGAGATGCTTCCACTAAATTCTTGAACGTTTGTTATCTCACAGAGACCCTGATTCATTCAAAATCACTGAGGGCAAGATTTTAGAACCAAAGAGGTGCTGTCAGAACACCTTCAGAAAGGAAAAAGAAAAAAACAGATCAAAGCATTTTTCAGAAAGAAATATAAAGATGCCAATCTTCTGACCTGACCTACTGGGCATGCACAATTTATAGTGGGTTTTTTTTCATAACTGAAAACAAAGTTTCAGATGAATCAAGGAATGATTCACTGTTTATCTGACATAAAAGAAATTTTAAAGACTTGACCCAACACAGGCTGTACCAAGAAACTCCCAGAATGCTGGCTGCTGCTTTGTCTATTCAAGCCAAGCCTTGCTGGTGAAAGGTTATGTGAGAGGCCGTTTTCATGACACAATCCAAATTAGTCTATTTTTTACCCTTTCATTTTCCTTCGAGAACAAGGAGAAAAGCTTGGTCAGCTGTACTAGCTGTGCTGCAACCCTCTTTCAGCCGTATTCCTGCCAGACAAAGAACAGC